GATAACCTTAGTCAGGCGTTACAGGCCGTGGCTGGGTGGCTCAGACTGAGTCGGCTGAAATTAAACTCGGCAAAGACGGAGGTCCTGGGGCTGAGTCGGATCAGTTCGGGGTTGGGGCTTCCTCTCCCGACCTTCGACGGGGCGCCTTTGGTGCTGACGTCGGAGGTTAGGAGTTTGGGGGTGCTCCTGGACTCCTCGTTAGCGATGGAGGTCCAGGTAGCAGCCACTGCCAAGTCGGCATTTTACCACCTTCGGCTGGCACGGCAGTTGGTTCCCTTCCTCGACCGGGAGGACCTAGCCACTGTGATCCATGCGACGGTCACCTCGAGGCTAGACTACTGTAACGCTCTCTACATGGGGCTGCCTTTGTCGCAAATTCGGAAGCTGCAACTAGTGCAGAATGCTGCAGCCAGGCTGTTGATAGATCTTCCTAGACGAGAGCACATCCAGCCTGTGCTGAAAGCGCTGCACTGGTTGCCTATAGCGTTCCGGGTTCGCTTCAAAGTGCTGGTTATTACCTTTAAAGCCCTATATGGCCAGGGACCAGCCTACCTAAGGGACCGCCTTTCCCCACATGTTCCTCCAAGAGCACTACGGTCTGGGACTCAGAACTTATTTGATGTGCCAGGTTCCCGGGTTATCAAACTCGTTACGACTAGAAATAGGGCGTTTTCGGTGGCGGCTCCTATTTGGTGGAATGAGCTCCCAGAGGAGATCAGGGCTCTGCGGGACCTAGCACAGTTCCGCAGAGCCTGCAAGACGGAGCTCTTCCGCTAGGCGTTCGAATAGGAGCCGCCATCACCATGGTACCATCTACGCCCCAAGCTTTTGTGGACAGGGTCATCATCATATGGGCGCTTTGGATAAGTATGGGACTTTTTAGGAGACGGCCATCTTGTTTTTAGGAGAGGAGCACCAAATACTGTTTTGAATGTAAGATGTTTTAATATTTAATGTTATTTAATATTCTTAATGTTTTAATTGTTTTATTATATGGTTCGGCGATGTGCCGTGTAAGCCGCCCTGAGCCTACGGGGAGGGCGGGATAAAAATGTAAATAATAAATAAATAAATAAATAAGATTGAGCCCAAGATCTGGTAAAATTGCAGTCTGCTCTTCTGGCTCTCCCTTGGTGTAGAGATTCAGTGCTGGTGAAAGGTGAGCAGAGATTCAGGGTAGCTGACGTGTGTGGCTAGGGTGGCCATCTGGCTGCTCACTTGCCAACAATGTGGATAGAACTTGCTGGGATGACTCAAATTTAATTGTTCTGCATTTGTGTGGAGACAGCCAGGAAGCGTCTGGGTGTGGGTCGCCTTTGCTGGCAGGTTGTTGGAGTGGGGCCAGCCGGAGCTGCCGTGTGCCTGTCAAGCTGCTCAATAGGGAAGAGTCCTTGGTTTGAACAAGTGTGAAGTGCTTTCTCTCAGTTTAAAGTTGCAGATAAGTGTAGTCTTTCTCTTCGCAGGGTGTGGGGAAAAACAAAGTTGTCGACAGATTCCTTCACCTGTTGAATAGGCCTAGAGAATATTTGCAGCTGCATAGGTAAGAGATACTAATTCTTTGGCATTTATTTATCTGTTAGTTTTCTTCATGCATACCCCACCTTTATCCCTGGTGGGGATCTCTTTTCTTCCTTGGTTTTATCCTCACCAGGCCCCTGCGAGGTGGGTTAGGCTGAGGGGGTGTGACCTTCTGTCTGTGTGCGAGGCAGAGGCTCCTCCCCTATAGCACAGCTGTTTCCCAAGGGGGCCTCCTTTGCTCCCGCAGGAGGCTGCACATGCACTTGGTACTTGCAACTTTGCATGACCGCAAGCCCCGTGGCGGCCACTTGAGAGTTGTGATGTCTCGTTTGGGCCCAAATGGGCGTGGGAATGGATCAGCATTCAGCAGTGTGAGTGGGAAGACCACTTGGAGGCTCTTTTCGGAAGAGCAGCATGTGCCTGTAATAGATATTTTCCTGGGGGGTGGGGAGGCTTTTGGGAGTGATGACCACTTTATTTATGTATTTATAACACTAGCTGCCTTTCTCCCTTGCAGAGCTGAAGTTGGCATACAGTATAAATAAAACATAAAAGCAGCAATGATAAAACCTATAAAAAGCCATAATTTAAAAGCTCCAATTACATCTGCTAGGAAATAAAAACTACATTAGTCAAATGCAGTCCTAAATAAAATTGTCTTCAGCTGCCTCCTGAAGGTCAACTGTGGTGGTGGTGGTGGTGGTGGTGGTGGGGTTGTTCCATATAAATTAGCTACCTTGATTAAGGAGCAAGGGGACTATCTGCAATCTACCCACTCAGTTTTTGAACAGATTATGTCAGTTCCTTCATCTGCACTAGTAAAATGTTACAAGCTTGTCACAACACAGTTTGTTTTTTTTAAATGACATAACAGGGAATGATTGCTCCTGTATTCCAAAGTGTACTTTAGTCAAAATGGATGAGACTTGTTTTTAAAAGAGCACGTGTGGTCAAGCAGAAAAACCTCCTTTACAGACGGAAAGAACATGGACGTCACAGTGTTTGCTAAAAATACACACAGCTCCACGGGGTGGATATTGAGAGATCGTAGAAGTAGTTCAGCTTTCCAGGGCTGTTGATGAAGGCAAATGGTGAAAATGTGACCTGATTATCTCACATCATTAATACTTATCTGCTATTAATTTTAAAAGACTTTGGTTTTATTTAGACATCAGGACAAACCTCTCGGGGTTGATGATGGGCAAAAACAAACCCGGTTTTGTCATTGCACTTTCCCTTGCGTATGGATTGTAACTAAAGTCTTCTCCGTTTTGACACATTGGTTTGGAATCCTAGTTGGTGGGAAGGAAACAAACTCCAGTTTCCCTAGACATCCAGATGTCCTGGCAAATTGAAGACTGGTTAAAATCTTCCAAAACCAGGAAGGTTTCAGTTGTCCCCTGTGGGTGGGGGAGGGAAGGGAACACGACTTGTGCTGATCACATCCGTAAATGGAAGTAATTGATAAAGGAAGGTAATTCCCCCCTGTGGTGATGATGATGATGATGGTGGTGGTGAAGAACTATATCCCACACTTCCGTTAAGCTCTTCATCACTGACATGATCACCTGTGGGGGTGGGTGTTTCTATGATGTGCCACAGTCCGAAATATTGATCCTTGCCCTCCAGTTAAAACTGGTGCTGGATAGAATTTTGGGTACTTAATGCTTTTTCTCCCTTGTTTGCTTTTTGATGAAGCCTGTGTGTGTTCTTGTTTGGTCTTAGAGACACCACCATCCAAAGTCTTACACTGCAGCCTTCTGTTAAAGACGGTCTTGTTGTGTATGAGGATTCTCCACTTGTAAGTTGCCTGCAATTAAGACTTACATTTGAATATAAGAGATTTTCTGTATAGGAAGTTGAAGAACCCAAGTCTAGATATTTATGTATTGTGGCTGTCAGCATGGTATTCCCATGATAAAAATTCTTTAAGTCATTTTCAGAGCAGGAGTTGTAGTTATCTCTGGTACTGAGGAGCTAAGATGAAACATGAAGGACACTGATTCTTTTCTCTTTCCCCTCTCATGAATTCAAAGCCCGTTTCAGATTCTGAGGAAGCCACACATTATCCTGAAATACTCATATTTCTTGTTTCCCGACACATGGCGTGACCTCTGAATGCAGATGCCTTGAACCCTAACCATGAACCAACCCGGCCTGGGGACTATGTTTGCAGCCTTTCTCATTCCACCCCATTGTCTGATCTCTTACGATATCTTCTGCTGGTTAGCCTTGTGCATCCTATATTTGGTAATTAATAGATAAGGTAGGCACATGGAGGTGATTTCCTAAGGGTCAGTAGGATCAGTGTGTGAAATCCACTCTTCCTTTCCTGCTGGTAGAACAGCCCCTTTTTGTCCCCTGTGTATGGACTCCAGTTTTACTTCTCTCCACCAGCATTCAGTGAAGCACTTGACATTCTGTGAACACGTTCACCTGAGAACCTAAAATGTGAGCATTCTGAGGTATCACTGCTTCTGAATTTGCAGTGGTGGTAGTGTCAGGTGTCAGGCAGGCATCAAGCACAGTTTTCATTTCTTCATTTGTTTTTATATATGTGCTCCTTTAGTTGGTTACATGAATACCTGGAATGTAAATTTTAATTACTATTGAAGGGCTTGTAGGGGTTGATGACGCAGTTTCCTATATCTGTGTGATACACCTAAATACTTTTTCCAGGTGAAAGCGGTCAAGTTGGGTCACATTTTAGTTATTGACGAGGCAGATAAGGCGCCAACAAATGTCACCTGCATTTTGAAAACTTTGGTGGAAAGTGGAGAAATGATCCTATCGGATGGAAGGCGCCTCATCGCCAGTAAGTAGCTCCCCCAAGTACAGTCTCCCAGCAGTTGTATTTATTGCAAATAGTTTATAAGAGTCATGGACTGAAATAAGTATGGAGCTACTTTCCCCCCCACTTCTACTTTGGTAAATATGCTAATTTGTTATATGTCTGTATAAGGAAAGCACAGCTTTCCCCTGAGGTTGCAAAGGGTTACTTAGAAGTGAAATGCAGAAGTAGGTTCTTGTTAAAAGTGTGTTATTAAAAATGTATTGTATTGTATGAGACTCTTCTTTGGGGCCTGGTTTCTGCTACACAACTGGTAGCTTGCAAACTGAAAACCGTTCAGTTAAAATGGCAGTGGGTTCAGAATGACAATGTAATAAGAATGGGCAGGATCCGGAGAACAGCTTTTCTGCCTCACTTCTCCTGCTGATGTCTCCTTCACTACCACACCTGCATTTGTAAGATTAAGGAGACCCCCCCCCCCAGGAATGGAGTGGGAGATATTGGGAGGGGGGGCACACTGCAGCGGGGGGGGGAATGACGACTGCTCTCTCCATCGCATTGACAGAAGAGGTTTGAATTAAACCCATTATGTTGATGTTATATTTTTTGGAGTACAGTGGGCTGGATCTAAAGTATTTTATTATTTATTGATTGATTTGACTTTTATCCCGCTCCTTTCCCCACCAGGCAGGGCTCACACAAGTAACACAAATGGAACTCTGTTCATGAACATACATGAACCTGCCTGATATTCAGTCAGACCCTTGGTCCACCAGGGTCAGTATTGTCTACTCAGACTGGCAGTGTCTTCCACAATCTCAAATAGAGGTCCTCCTTATCAATTGCTGCTGCCAGATCTTTTCAAATGGAGATGCCAGGGATTGAACCTGGGACCTTCTGCGAGCCAAGCAGATGCTCTACCATGAAATGGAACTTTCCCCCCTCCCACTGTTAGCCCCCCCCCGGTGCCCCCTGAAACTCTGTTTCTGGGTTTCCGCAAAACCCCCCCCCCCCCAGAAGCAGTGCTGGGAGAAATATTGGGGAAAATTGGGGTCTGTGGTAAGAAATGGGAATCAGCAAATATCACCCCTGTCTTCCTGTATCTGTGGAAGTCCCCACCACTGTGGTGAAGGACCAGGATTCAGATTCATGTGTATATATAAAAAACAGACAAATATTCTTCATTTCAATGTATACCGGTGGTGTAAAGTGCCATCTAATTACGGTGTAAAGTGCCACCGTGTCACAAGGTCACGTATGGTGACCCCTCAGGGCTTTCAAGGCAGGAGACGAACAGAGGTGGTCTGCCATGTCCTGCCTCTGCGTAGCAACCCTGGACTTCCTTGGTGGCCTCCCCTCCAAGGACTAACCCAGGGCCAGCCCTGCTTGGCTTCCGAGATCTGACCAGACTGGGCCAGCCTGGGCCATCCAGGTCAGGGTTTTCCCCTAAATTTCTCTTCAGTTATAAAAAATATTTGTTAAACATCTGCTTTTTTATTCTGTCTTCCAACGGGATTTGCAGGGCTGTCCTAACCCAAGTTGCACCCTTCTGGGCTTAGAGGGATGTAACTCTGCCGAGGGCAGCCCTCTTGGGCCATCCGGGGCCACCTTGAGTGACACTGTGTAGGCAAGAGAGTTCTTGGGTCAGGATCGTGGAGCTGCCTCCAGTCTTGCTGTGATGGGGGGGGTCCCCCCTACCTTTTTGCACATTCCATGACTTCCTATGAGCCTCCAGTCTTCCTGAGTGGAGTACTTGCAATGGGCATCATACAGTCATCTGATGGGCCTGGTTTTTGTTGTTTGTTTATTTTACACACCACCCTCCCCGCCGGAGCAGGCTCAGGACAACTTACATGAAAAGTTAAGACACATAAAACAGAGCCATTATAAAAACAGTCATACAGTGCTAGTGACAGTAATAATATTGCATAGCAATGGTGGAAACATAACAGCAGGTCAGCCGTAGTGGAATACAGTGTCTTGCAAAATGGAATATATTAATTGCAAATCTGTATACTTCACAGATCCTGCTAGTGTAAGTGGGAGGAAGAACGTGATAGTCATTCATCCAGATTTTAGGATGATAGTTTTGGCCAACAGACCTGGATTTCCTTTCTTGGGTAATGACTTTTTTGGAACACTAGGTAAGTGGAACCCTTACTGGAAAGTTGTGGTTTTATTGTGGAACTGAGCACCGAGAATCTCAGTTTTGTTTCAAATCTGGGAGAACCAGGTTTGATTCCCCACTCTTCCACCTGGCTGGATGACCTTGGGCAAGCCGTAGTTCTGATAAGAGCTGTTCTTGAAAAAGAGCAGTTTCTGTCAAGAGCTCTCTCAGCCCCACCCGCCGCACAGGGTGTCTGTTGTGGGGAGGGGGACGGGAGAGGAGTTTGTAAGCCGCTCTGGGTAGTGAAGGGCCATGGGGTATACATCCAATCTCTTCTTCTTGACAGAAAGGACATGAAGGAAGCACTCTTGATTTTGCTGTTGTCTGTTTCAGCATCTCAACCCAGAGGTTACCTTGGTCATAGCCATCACTTGAAAATGTCATATTTCTTGTGTTTCAGTCAATCTGAAGTTCTGGGGAAAACAGTTGCAAACAAAGAGTGTCGGAATTAAGATAAAAGATTGATAATACAAAATGATTTTGCTGATCAAGCAGCAAAACAGTTGTTTTCAAGATATAAACAGGAGAAAATACATTCCAGGCATTTCTGTAAAATGAGTTCAGAGTGAGAAGGCAAGATTCGAAAAATGTATGAAGTGGCTATCCTGGTCCATTCAGCTCACTGTTTTCCGTGCTAACGGGCAGCACCCGTCTAAGGCCTTTTCTGTCTCTTTATAAATGGAGAGGCCAGAGTTAAGCTGGGGCCTCCTGTAGACAAAGCAGGGTCTTTCTTTACCACAGTGTTCAGCTGGTGGGTCTCTCTGGGCTTGGCTGCATGCCTCATGGTGCTCGTTAACTCCCATATAGGCAAGAGCCTTCATGTCATTTTAAACAAAGGTGCAGTGGAGCTGGGCAGGAGGCATCTATGGAAGACTTTACCGTCAGGAGTCCCTTACTTATTCAGGTTCAACTTCCTTAGTCAGGTCCAACAGTCAAACAAGTGGAGCACAGTCTTCCATGAAGCATATACTTTATTTTCAGTACTATTGATCAGGAACACAAGCACTGTTAGGGATGAGTCAAAAGGGAAAGCTTACTGGGATATCCAGAGTTCAAACTACCCCCCCACACACACACTTGTGGGCCAATCGGCTTGATTCCCGTGGGCGGGCAAAGGTCACATTTCCATACTTCCACTGGAAAAATGGAGACGTGTTCCTCCAACACAGGAATGGGAATGGATGATCCCAGGATTCCCACTTACCATGGAGGCTGAGGAATGTGTAACTTTTAAAAAGCCTACTGTTTGAACAAATGGCTAAGAGGTAGCCGTTTTTAGTCGGTTGCAACAAAATCCTGGAGGATCCTTATGGCCCTTAACCAATAAGATGAATCCCTCCCCCCCCTGGGTCTGTGAGGGTGGGGTCTATGAAAGGTGCGCACCAGCCGTGGAGCTTGGAAATGGTCCTCTCTCATTATGACTAGGGTCACAGTCTTGCCACTTGATGAGATAGTGAAGGTAGCCCCATTTGATCTCAGAGTCTAAGACCTCTTCCACCTCCTGGTGGAATTCCCCATCCACGTTCAGGGGAGGAGGAGCTGCTGGACGAGGTCTCCACTTTGAGGGTCCTGGATCCTTCTTCAGTAGACTGAAATGGAAAACCGGGTGGATGTGTCATAAGTTCTTTGGCAATTCCACTTCAACAGCCACCTTGTTAATGACTCTCACCACCTTAAAAGGGCCCACAAATCCCCCCCACCTTTTTCTCTGGTTGTAATCCCCTCAGATTCCTGGTAGAAATGTATACAGAGTCCCCTGGGTGAAGGTCCCACTTGGGTGTCTGGGCTTTGTCAGCCTGGGTTTTGTAATCCTCTTTGGCCTTGGCCAGATCTTGTTGAATTAAGTTAAGTCAGCCCACCAGCTTTGTAAGTTTATCGAGCCTTTTGGCTCACATGCCACTGTAGGCAAAAGGGCCCCCTTGTATCCATGTACCACCTTGAAAGAGGTAGTTATTGTAACTGTATTCTGCATAGGGAAGGAAGTCCAACCAGTTATCTTGGTAAAAAATGAAACATAAACTGTTCTAGCACCTGCTTAGTCCTTTCCATTTGCCCATCAGTCTCTGGGTGGTAGGCACTACTGAGCCCTTGTTCCACCCCCAGCAGGTTCAACAGTTCCTTCCAGAACCCTGCTACAAACTGGGGGCCCCTGTCCGATATGACCTTCTGGGGTACTGAGTGTAATCTCACAATGTGCTGCATGAACATCTGTGCTAATTTTTTAGCCGAGGGCAGCTGCTTACAAGGGATAAAATGCACCTGTTTCAAAAAAGATCCACCCCCCCATCACAGTTCTTCCCTTGCTGGGGGGTAGATCCATTATAAAATCCATAGAGATAACAGTCCATGGTCTTTTGGGGGTCTGTAATGGTTACAACAGACCCGGAGGCTTCCCCCACCATCATTTTCCCATCAAGGCAATTTGCTGTCATGCCCCACTTGTAAAATCTCCCCGCACAAGGCCCTGGCACAAACAATTTCTGTTGGTGGGACCAGCACCCGTTTGACCACCTGGGCAAAATTGGGGATGAACAGGAGGTAGAAATTGGTGAACCCAAGGAATGACTGTAACTGCCACCTTGTCTCAGGGGGTTCCCATCCTGGATTTTGTGGGGGTCCATGCCCAGACCTCTCCCAGAAATTTGATAACCCAGGAAGTCCAGCTCCTCTTTATGGAACTCGCACTTGGACAGCTTTGCAAACAGGTGGTTTTTATAAAGGGCTTTCAGTACGTCCCTGACGAGCCGCACATGGAAGTCCTTATCTTTTGAATATATCAATATATCATCCAGGTAAACAAGGACCCCCTTGAACAACTGTTTGTGCAACACCTTGTTGATTAAGTTCATAAACACTCCTGGGGGTCCCATAAGCCCGAATGGCATCACCAGGTATTCAAACTGGTCAAAAGGGGTGTTGAAGGCAGTCTTACATTCGTCCCCCTCTTGGATGAGCACCCGAAAGTAAGCATCTCTCAGATCCAGCTTAGTAAAGATCCGGCCCTGAGTGGCCTCTGCCAGTAAGTCTTTTACCAAAGGGAGGGGGTAGGCATTCGACATGAACACCGCATTCAGACCCCGGTAGTCCATACACAGTCTCAACCCCCCATCTTTCTTTTTCCGGAAAAGTACTGGGGCTGCAAAAGGTGAGGCCGCTGGCTGAATGAATTGCCTGGCTAGATTTTTGTCAATAAACTTCCACAATTCTGCCTTCTCAGCTGGACTCATCGAATACAGCTTCCCTTTGGGCATTTTGTGACCAGCCAGAATTTTGACAGCACAGTCAGTTTTCTGATGAGGGGGAAGTTCGTCTGCCTCCCCCTCCTCAAACACCTTGGCCAAGTCTCTGTATTCTGGGGGCATGAGCTTCCGCTCCTGTCTAGCCAGGCACACCTGCTCAGGCTGTGGCGCCCCCCCCCGATTCCATTTATGCTCTTTGCAGCGGGGGTCCAGAAACCGCAGGGCTCCCAAACTCCACTGCACGTAAGGATCATAGTCTCGGAGCCACAGACTCCCCAAAACCATCAAAAATTTGGCTGAGGGGTTGACGACAAACAATCAGAGTTCCCAATGGGAGCCAACCCCCACGTGCAGGTGGATTCTGCGGTACCGGCATGGTTCCCCCTTCATTGGAGTCCCATGCATCTGTGAGAACACTAGGGGCTCCTCCAACTCCTGCACTTTAGCTCCCAGCCCCGTCACCAGGGCCGGGCTAATTATGTCCCGGGTGCACCCAGAGTCAATCAAAGCCAGCACCCTAATATGCGTACCAAGGGTGGGGTTGACTGTAGTCACAGTCATGTAAAATAAAGGGGAATAAGCTCTCTCCAATTCTGGTGTGGGAGGCTTTCGGATCTGTCATTTAGCACCCTTCACAGCAGGTCCCGGCCTTTTCTTGCCGGCTGGTGCAGCTCTTCCTTGCTGGATGAGACTCCCTCCAGTTCCTCTTGCTCTCCCAACTGGAGAGCCTTTGATGGCTTAGGACAACTCCCGAGGGGCTTGCTCCTCTTCTCTGGTCCCCAGCCCTCTTCTTTCTTCATCCCACTGTGGCTCTTCTCCCAGGGACAGTTGGCGGTGAAGTGCCCCGGGGCTCCGCATCTGAGGCACAGACCTTGTCGCATCCGTTTCTCGTGGTTACTCCCAACTCCTTGGGGTCAGCTCCATTTCCCCTTCGACCCTTCTGCCAAGGCCCCCCCCCAAGGGTTAGGGTGGTACATCTTCAACAGGTTGCAACGTTTCTCTGCTTCGCAGGCCACCTGAATCCCACCCATTCAGGGTCAAGGGGTTGTTGGGTCAGTGTCTTGTCCAGGATGGAGGAGTTCAGACCCACCTGGTAAAACTCAATGAGCACCTCTTCTGGCCACTCCTGGAGCTTAGCTGCATGCATCTTGAACTCATCCGAGAACCCATGGATGGATTGGCTGCCTTGCTTCAGACCCCAAAGGCAGGTCCTGGCTCGCTCCAGCTCCAAAGGGTCTTCGTATTGTTGGTGGAGGGCCCACATAAAGGCGTCCATGTCTCTGAGCTCAGGGCCACCCACATATTACAGTCCCACAAACCAGTCTGCTGCCCGATCGCACAGCCAAGACCCCACATAGTCTATGCGCTGCTCATCCAATGCGAAGGTATGACCCCACTCTCTCAGGAACTTTCGCACCTGCAGTGCGAAGAATGCCAGCTTCTCCAGGGTCTCGTAGAACGTAGCTTCCGGTGCCTCTCGGATGGGTCGGCACAGGGAGTGGCCTGGGCTGGGGTGCTGGCTGGGGTTGTGGTGCCAGGTGCGGCACTGGGCCCGATGGGGGCCCCGCAGGTCCTGCGGGGATTTGCTGGGTGGGGGCCCCTCCTGGGGCCTGGAGCTCCCGCTGCAGTGCCTCCCGGATGGCAGCCGAGAGGTCCGCCAGGGCTGCACGTGTGTCCTGCCACAGCTCCTCCATCTCACATCTAAATTCTTGCCGAACACTGTCAGTTTCTTCGGTTAGCACCCCTGCTACTCACAACCACTTGGGGGTCATTGAACGATCTTGAGATCTGTCTCCCCTCAGCATCTGGTTGGTTATGCCACGTCCTCGGCCCAGGGGCCAGTCGCCAGTCGGGATCACCCCATTTCAGTTGCGAGGGCCGATCGTCCTTTGGCCTGGGTCCCTTCTCTGGGGGTTCCCCCTCTCCCGTTGGGACGGGAGGCTCGTGGGCTGGTGGGCCGGTTTGGGTTCCAATCACTGCGGTGGTGCAATGGGTCGAGGTAGTGAGTTCTGACACTGTCAGACTCTTGAACAAGCTCACTCTCAACAACACCCTTCTGTAGGGACTTGTTTACTGAGATGTGAAGATGTGGCAACTCAAACAGCTTCCCCCGCCCCCGTGACCCGTCCAATCAAGCCATCCACACAGCCTGCCTAAGCCAAGCGCGCGCTCCCCCCCCCCACCTGCGAACCTACAGTTTATCTATGACAGGCCAGCTAGCAGATACAGGTGTCCAAGGTCATTTGCATTCTTCCCATTCGGGAGGCCTCTTGAGAAAGGAGTTACAAGGCAGCTGAGCGAAGCAATCCCCACACACTCACATGCAGTCACCGTCTGCCCTCCCAATGGCCCAGATACAGGATGGTGACAGGTAAGGAAGAGAGAACAACAGAAATACGTGCCAAATGAGGACCCGAGTTTGACACTATTACCTTTAGCTTACTATTGCTTTCATGTAACTGTCTACATTCCCTTTTTGTTTTAGGAGATATCTTTAGCTGCCATGCAGTTGATAACCCTAAACCAGACTCAGAGCTTGCGATGCTGCGCCAGTATGGACCGGAGGTTCCGGAGCCAGTCCTGCAGAAGCTGGTGGCTGCTTTTGGGGAGCTCCGAAGCTTGGCTGACCAAGGAATAATCAATTATCCTTACTCAACTAGAGAAGTAGTGAATATAGTGAAGCACCTACAGGTACAGTGCATCGATTCCAGAGATATATTTGTATACTGCCTTTTAACATAAGTTGCCCCAAAGTGTTTCCCACGAGAAACGGTAAAGCAAGAAGAGCTGCTCAGGAGCAGAGCTGGCACCAGAGCTAACCTCCTGCCACTCCCCTAAGAACACAAGAGAGAAGCCCGTGTTGGGTCAGGCCAGTGACCCACCCAGGCCAACACTCCTCTGGGTCACACAGTGGCCAGAAACACTAGGGGCCATCAGGAGGTCCACCAGTGGGGCCAGGACACTAGGAGCCCTCCCACTGTCCCCCCCCACCATAGAGAACAATGGAAGAGATAGGGGCAACCTGTTTGGGGGCCCGTAGAATTGGAGCCCCTGGTCCAACATTCTTCAAACTTGGTTGGTATCTTGGAGAGAGGCTCCAGAAGCTACCCTGCAAGTTTGGAGGCTCTCCCTCAAACCCCTCCCCTCCAGCCCCCAGAATATACCCTATGTTTTCGCCATTGACTTCAATGGCCCATAGGATATAATGGGGCTGAATTGCCGCCGAAATTCGGCGGCAATTCAGTGGCAGGCCAATTCAGATCAGAGAATCTGAATTGGCCTGCAGCAGCCCGAAAGGGGTTACAATTATTTATTTATTTATTCATATTTATATCCCGCCCTCCCCAGATGGGCTCAGGGCGGCTAACAAGGGCAGGACATAGCCATGCCAGAATAAAAACATATAAAAACATAATAAACATTCAACATTAAACCACTGTACTCAATTCATAACTGATGTCCTAAGTCCAAGATGGCAACTCCACAGTTAATTATAATAACTGCAGTGCTGAATCAGACCAAGAGCCCATCTTCTCCTCAAATGCTGCTCTGGGTTTGGTCTCTGTTCCGGCTAGTTAATTGTTTGTATCCAAACGAACTTGAGAAGTGGGCTCTCTTTGCAAAGTCCCACAGTCATGAGAGGTCCAATCCATGTGATTCTCCCACCTTGAAACAAGTGTGAAGGGCCACGTGGCTTTGGAGGCCTGAGCACGTCAAGCATCCCTTGAGGGGGGGAGGGGATGTGTGCCTCTGCAGCCTGAAAGGATTGGTCAGATGGATCCGTGTCTGAACTGGGAAGCTCGTGTGCATGATGGTGGTGCTTGCTGGGCATCCAGCCTCCAGGCCGTCAGGCGTGCGCATTGCCTTTGAGCATTAAAGCCTTTGAGTTTTTAGATTTAGGGTGGAAGGCATGGAATGTACATTTCTTCCAGCTTTCTGCACCAGCTGGCAGTTGGTCTCTAAAATCTTATTTGGCAAGCAAATATACCTGCTATGTTATAGTAATGTGAAATGGTACTACATGAGCAGATGTGAGCAATTTCATGCAAGAACCTGAGTCCAAAAAACTTGAGATGGGAAAAGTTCTGAGATGCGCTTGTTCTTCTCTTTCACTTCATTACCTGGAGCAGCTTGAAAAGTATGTTGCCCTCACAGCGTTATGATGGAGACACTAGGCCCGCTAGAAGCTCTTCTGGTTCATCAGAACATTTGCGGAACGTTTGCTATCAGTTCATACGAAACTTGGAACAGTAGTTTCTTCTGGTGGCGGCTTATTTTTTTTTCTTTTTCTCTGTAGAAATTTCCAAAGGAAGGACTTGCAAATGTTGTCAGAAACGTCTTTGATTTTGACTCCTACAATAATGAAATGCGTGAGATTTTAATTAGGATCTTGCACAAACATGGGATACCAATTGGAGCAAAGCCTACCTCTGTACACCTGGCCAAGGAGTAAGGATAACACGAGATGCTTATTTCTGCTAATTAAGATCAACCTAGAATGCTTGATGCAAACTTTATTGCCAAATACTGATATTTTATTGTGTTATTTATTTATGCAGCCTCATTAATGTACACTTACAGCACAAGTCATTATTTATAGATTGTGAATATTTTAATGATTAAATTTAATAAAAGGAAATATTTGGTTTTTTTCAGTTTCTCTATTAAATTATCTGTCTTGAATTTCTCACTACAGTTAGCAGCTAACCCAAATTATTTTGTTTATAATGTGGGAGCAAGCTGGCTCTTAATCCTGCACAAAACTGCCAGAATACTTCTTGTGTAGACATTTTATAATCTGTATGAACAGCAAGAATTTGTGACTGGAGCCAGCATTTCCAGATGTACAAACATCCACTTCTTTAAAACTTTGACATATCCTGGCTAATTTCCTGAAAGAAGCTCCTTCAAGCCTCTTGGTGTTGTTGTTGTTAAAATATAAGATTCAAGCCAAGATGTTTTGTTAGATAATGTTAAGGTACAACCCTTAAACCAATTCCCAAAATCATGTATTAGAGAAACAACAAATATTTCCCTTTCTCCTGCAGAAACACAAAAGGCTGTTGTTAGGCAACCTATTTTTACAGAGTTGCATTATGCTGATGTCTGCTGAAGGGGAAGAGCAGAGTCGTTTCCTCTGGCCAAATGTCTTGGTCAATTGGCAGAGTGTATAGCTCACTCCCCTGACCATGCCTGGCAACTTCTAGGGACATTCTTAGAGGGGCAGCCCCGTGGCTGTACATGAATTTATCCTTATGTCCATAGGCTTAGTTTATACTTCAGTTTACTTATTTTTGTGTCACCCAGTCCTTTTTAAGAACATTTGGCAAACAGTGAAGCCATTGCCTAAAATCTGAGCATTAAAACATGGCGCTGCTCATTATTTAGCAAAACCAAGGCACAAACCCCTGTCCCGTCCTACAAAACATTCAAGGTCCTCCTGGGCCAATTAGAAGCAAGCCCCGTGGCATGCCAGGTGTACTGACAGATCCAGGTGGGCCAGAGCCGTGTTGGTCTGAAGCAGCAGAACAAAGTTTGAGGCCGGGGGGTGGGGGGGGCACCTTTGAGGCCAAGAAAGTCAAGGTGTGAGCAAGGCACACTTTGTCAGGTGATGAAATGGAATTACATATCGTGGTTGGATATATATAGGGGTGTCTTCTTAAATTAGCAAGCAAAATAGTGAAGTTTTTTTTTCTTTTTTACCGGTTAAAAGAATGACAAAGTGGGTTTCTGGTTATCATCTGTTTGGGTTTAGCTGGGGGGGGGGGCAACATAGGCAATAAATAGGTCAGAACTGGAGGTTGATGCGGCCTAAATTGTGAGAATCCTGTCCTTAGACTCCATCCATTTCTTTTCTAGCATGGAGGCAAACTTTACAGCATCTTGGCTGTGTAGAGACAGTTACTTGAATATAAAATACACAGATTAATAGAGAAAGCCCAGAAGTGGCATTTCAGTTTATACCATCTTTTTATGTTTATTGTGCTTTCAATTACTGCCTTAGAACCAGATTAAATTCCTCAAAAACTCATTAAAACCTCCTGTTCTCCCTTCAGGGTTTTACCTAACCAAATCCAATCCTTCATGGCACTAACTTCACTACTTGGTAGTAATATTTGATCTTTGGGGCCTCAATATCCCAACAAACTTTTGCTTATATAATAACTTGGCAGAAATTTTCACTGGTTTTCCAGCCTAAAGAAAAGTTTAGACTATTGAGAGAAGATAATATTTATGTCATTTTGTTTCTTCGAGGCATATTTGGTTGTGATGCTCCTCTTAATATTCCTACAAATCTGGGTCAGACTCTCACGACTGTTTTCTTTACACTTGTTCTCTGATCAGGTCATGATTGTCCTCATTTGTCTTGAAACATTAATGTCAACCACTAGATGAGCTCTTTCACAATTTTATTTATTTTATTATTTATTTATTAAATTTGAAATGGCTGATGTTTGTAATGTTCTATATAAAAATAAAAAAATTATGGAAAAAAACACTTCTTCATGGTCTCTGTGCATCACACTGTTACAACATAGTGTGCCTGCGCCGGTCCCAATTGGTAAATAGAAAGCTGAAAGGGATATTTCATACCCTTTCCCTCATGACGTGCGCAGGGAGCTCGACTGCCGTGACTACAGGGAAGGGCACGAGGATTCCGCTAGATCTTCTTCGTGGTCTCTGTTTGTATCCCTCTCCTCGCTTCGGTCGGTAAAAACACTTCTACTTCTTTTTTTCAACTTTCTTCAGACTATTTGGACAGTACAAGTTTTCTCTTATTAGAGGGGGGACTTCCACAGCAGACCAGGGCGCTGGCCCGCTCCTTACCTCCCCCACCCCACTCCTTAGCCCATGGCCAAATGTTGGGGTTTTTCAAGAGGTCTAAAGTGAAGCAGCAAGACAGCGCCTCTGGATGGGACACTCCATTCACCTAATTTGCCTCAGGGAAGCCCATCGTGTGGAATCCTGCATCCACTGCTCGAAGTTCTCCCAGCAGAAGAGAAAAAAACTGAGCCGTGAGACTCAAAACCACATTCCTCGAATCAGCACTCTCCCCACTGATGGCATCATCGATCGAAACCTCCAGCCATGCTTCAGTGTCAACCCCAGCCTCGACAGCAATGGCGCCTTGATCACCAGCACCGACTCCTTTCAATGCCGACTGACTGGTGCTGAAATGCCTGGTCCTGGCCACTGAATTGGACCCTACTCCTGCTAAGAAACACAGGGAGGGTAAGGGGAACAAACCAGACAACGGGAAGAAGCACAAGAAAAACCTGGAGAAGCCTAAGAGCTCAACAGACACCCCATCACGTGTTGGAGCCTCCACCTTTGCAACTGCTTGACTCACCTATCCAGAGCCAATCCTTCATGAGAGTGGACTCACCTCTGGCTCATCCTGTGCGTTTCTTGGATTCAGACCACAAAATGGATGTAACACAGAGGTCCCTTTCCTCCAGCACAGAGATGATAGAGGTCAAAATATCTGATCCTTTCGTCGCATCCACATTGATCATAGAGGTCAAAATATCTGATCCTTTCGTCCTCCGTTGCTGCACACCCACCACCATCTCAATGATCGGGATCGATCTCCGAGCTTCCAACCTCCACTACCACCTATGCACTGGGATCAGAGGCAGCTACGTTATCTCTACAGAGCCTGTCTGCTCTTCCCACTGTTCCCTGGCTTTGGGACCGAGCACCACCCAACTAGGATTGTCAATCCACTTCTTCACGTCTGTCTTGATACTGTGATCCCACTCCTCAACCTGATGCAACCCTGCCGAGGTCTCCTGCGCCGCCGGATTGGCCTCACAAACATGGAGCAAAAATCATAGAATCATAGAATGTTAGAACTGGAAGGGACCTTGCAAGTCATCTAGTCCAACCCCCTGCACTCTGCAGGAGCATAGCCAAAAGATAGCCCTACAACATACCCGAAATATGGTCGTCCAGGCTCCGCTTGAAAACGTCCAGTGAAGGAGCATCCACCACCTCCTGAGGCAGACTGTTCCACTGCTCAACCACTCTTACAGTTAGGAAGTTTTTCCTGATATTTAGCCGGTAACGAGTCCCTTGTAATTTCCACCCATTAGATCTAGTCTTGCAATCCGGAGCAAGAGAGAATAGATCTACTCCATCTTCTGCATGACAGCGCTTCAAATACTTGAAGGCTGCAATCATGTCCTCTCTAAGCCTTCTCTTTCCCAGGCTAAACATACCCAACTCTTTCAGCCTTTCCTCGTAAGACTTGGATTCAAACCCTCTCACCATCCTGGTTGCCCTCTTCCGGACACGCTCGAGTTTGTCAACATCCTTCCTAAAATGGTGCCCAAAACTGGACATAGTACTCCAGGGGAGCCCTGACCATAGCAGAATAGAGCGGAACTACCACCTCCCGTGATCTGGACACAGTGCTTCTGTTAATGCATCCTAAGATTGCATTAGCTTTCTTCACAGCCACATAGCACTGCAGGCTCATGTTTAGCTTGTGATCAATGAAACCCTTCCCATTGGTACTGAAGCAATCAGCACTGAGGGCCTCGACAACCAATGCATCCTCCGGACCCATATGACTCCGAGGAGCCATCTGTCAACTCTACCAAGGGATGAGGAATCGGACCATAACTTCAGCACCAACACAACACCGAAGGTGACAGATGACCTTCCTATTTCCCCTTCAGAGGACCTAAAGTCCTACGGCGACTTCATCAGGTGTATGGCTCATGCACTAAACCTATCCCCAGTGCAACTACCCCCACTGTTTTTTATATAGTACAGGTGGACATGTCCACAGCCACTGCTCTACTGATGACTTCCATCCTTCTCCAGGTGCCAGGACCAAGCTTCTACCCCTATCTCATCTCGTAGACTAGACCACATGTACAAAATACAAAAAAATGGGGGTGGAATTCCTCTTCATGCAGCCCAAACCTAACTCGATAGTGGCCATATCATCCTCCAAGAACAGACACACCCATTCATCACCTCCTGATAAAGAGGGAAAGAAACTGGACTCCATGGGTCACAAGTTCTACTCTGCGGGTGCCCTAGGCATTAAAACCTCCAATTATGCTGCCTGTATGGGCAGGTATCAATAGACCCTCTGGGAGCAACTTTCTGAATTCATCTTCTCCTTACCTGAGGACTCAACCCGCCAAGCTTGGCATATACAGAAAGAACTAATGCTGCTAGCTAAACAACAGTTAAATTTGGCCAAACAAGCCCTAGACATCTCAGCCAAGACCCTCACCTCAGCCATCACCCTATGCCACCACTCTTGGTTATGCTCTACCACCCTCCAACAAGACACCAGGTGTTATGTGGAGGACCTCCCCTTTGAAGGAAGAAGGGCTATTCAGTTCCAGTACAGATGCAGTCCTCCAGGAATTTGATAAGAGCATCAAGATCTCCTGCAACCTAGGGGTATCCACAACCAGATCTTCAGA